TACATGTGCAAATTAAAGCTTGATAGCAACCAGCTATAAACTCAGTACACATTTTCAAGGTCTAACTTTATAGCTGGTTGAACCTTGTTATGGCTTGTGTATTTTGCACATGTAACTGGTCTCAGGGTAACTGCGCAATTCATCAGTTAATTGTGTGATATCTGTAATGTACAAAGGGAGTCCAAAACAAAACAAAAAACCCCAAAAAACAGAACTGCTTACATCTTACCTTTCTACCAGCTCACCTCTTTACTGTGCAGCACCCCTTGCTCTAAATATTTAGAAAAGCATTTCAGATTTATGACAATAATTCCTGATAATAATAGTATGATGTCATTCCTAGATCAGTTTAGGGCTGGATGGTGTCAGTAAGACCATGAATGGTGATTCAATTTTAATGGACTGAAAATTTAAGCAGTGTAGTCTTTCCTTAAGCAAGCTTATGGCCCTCTAATGATAATAGAACATATCTTAAAAAATTACAGGCCCACCACTAAATATAAGTACCTCTAAAATATTCTCATTCAAAGGTGAAGTACTAAAGCTAACTTGCTGTAAGATTATTTCTATACCTAATAAAAGCTGCTTTATGTCTTTCATTTAAAGATGCGTATTGGTCTCCATTCTGGGTCCGTCTTTGCTGGAGTTGTTGGAGTTAAAATGCCACGTTATTGTCTCTTTGGAAATAATGTAACTCTTGCCAACAAGTTTGAGTCTTGCAGTGTACCTAGGAAAATAAATGTCAGTCCAACAACTTACAGGTACAGTACTTAAAATTAATCTAAACTTATGACAGTTTCTGTAGTACTTTCTCAGTTGTTGTCTTCACTTTTTTTAACAAAGTTCAGAACAAAATGCTGAACAAAATTCAGCTTTGTTTTCCTGAGATTTTTTTTTTGATGGTATAGCTCATGATTGCATCATTTAGCCAGGAACCATCCAGCCAGTAGCAACAGCAAAGGAAAGATTGAGAAAAAATATGTATTTTTCCCATGTCACATTTATTACAAGTAGCAATTCAGAATAAATAGAATACATTTTGCTATTGACCTTGAAGTTTTACATGTCTGGCTTTTTCTTCCTCTTCTGAACTAAATAATTTTCAGTGTGAGTTGGGCACCTAACTGACTTAGGCTCCTTTGAAAAAAATAATAAAACTGAACAACAGATATTTCCTTAAGAAACCATTTCTGGTGATTGATAAACTCATCAACTGTTGCCAGATCTTTTAATTTTGTTTAGGGAGGATAAATAAGAAAATTGTGATGAAGCAACTGTGCCACTACCTGGTTTATTCAGTTTTCTGGGCCCTAGTTCAGTGAAATTTTAAACTTCCATATGACACCTAGATTAGACTGGTCAATGGTCTTCTAATAAGGAGTAAGAAAGAGATGACCATGCTGATTTTTTTAGTCAGCAGTCCTTGATATAAATGACCACAAGGTATTGTTGACTCTGCTATGAAGACTACTGGAAGTGAATAGGGTTGCAGTTAAGTTGCTCTATTGTTATTTTCAGTGACCAATGTGTTTGATCATTATTTGGAACATGAAAATACTCCCTTGTGAAACAGAGCACAACTCTTTTCCTCTCCCTGATACCTTTGTAATATAGGGAAATAATTCAGATAAAGAAATAGGTGTCATTATTGGGTGGAATTGAGAGACCGGTGGAAATGATTTTTCTTCCTATTAAGAAGAAATAACAGATTCATATATTTGTGCCTCTGGTTCACAATATAGAAATCCCTGTTATAGTCCCAGTTATTTCTGGGTGTCAAGAATGGGGGCCAAGAATGCTTTTTTTTCTATATGCATATATCAGGTCAATGGTAAGTGATGTCAAATGTAGTCTTCAACACCATTATTCCCCAAGTCTGTCACATTTGGATTGGATTATTGCAATGTATTCCATTTAATGTTACACCTGAAGGCCACTTGGAAATGTCAGCTAGTTAGAGTACTTCTTCCTGGTTTCAGTATATCAAGATAAGCCACTGTACTTTGTATTTATTGGCTTAAAAGGAAAGAGGACTAGGCAAGTTTCTGATCCACTGAGACAAAGGTCCTGGTTAGAGCATGGAGTCCCTTTGGTTCCAGGCTTGGTGGCTTAAGCACTGTATTAAGACCCTTTTCATATTTCTTTGATTGAAAGGTTAATTCGGGTGCCAGGCTTATAAACTAACTTGATCTACTAGCTAATGTTAAATAGATTTTTAAAAGTATTTACAACAAATATATTGCCTTGTAATAGAAAGAGAGACTATGTTTTGGTTTGAATATCTCATAGACTACTAAATCACTCAGTAATCAAAGGGAATGCCAGCTAAGCAGCATAATTTCTCTCTTCATTGGATAACAGAGAGGTGTTGAAACAGAACCTGTCCTGATTTACAAATCATGTATGAAGAAGAATGATAGAATGTTTTCACTAGTTACAACAATTTAATGTTTGATTTAATATTTAATCAAATCATTTTAATTTTCTCATAGGCTGCTTAAGGAATACCCAGGTTTTGTGTTCACACCCCGTTCAAGAGAAGAACTTCCTCCAAACTTTCCCAGTGATATCCCTGGGATTTGTTATTTTCTGGATGCTTATATTCAAGGAACAAATTCAAAGGCCTGGTTTCAAAAGAGAGATATTGAAGATGGTAATGCAAATTTCTTAGGCAAGGCAACAGGAATAGACTAAATAGCACATTTACAAAATAATTTTATAAATATTTTCAGTTTTGTATACACTGAGAATAAAAAGTATATGAAATATGAAAGCACTTTAGATTGTTAACACCTGAAAACCAGTATTAAAATTTCAGGAAGTATGTCACAGACTACTTTTTATTTTTGTTTTCCATAAGAAATACAGTCACTAAATATTTCAACTTCACTGTTTTAAAATGTTGTTTTATAGTATTTTGTTTTGCCTGTGATAATTTGTAAGTATTACATAACCATTTCAATCCTACTTGTTTTGCAAATTGTAGAAGTGTTGTACATATACTGTTGCAGGAAACGTAATGCACAAATGATGCAGCCACATGCAGTATTGTGAGTTGCGCACACCAATGCTTATTAAAAACAGTCTATTTAGTTGCTTGATCAGAGAAGTATCCATAAACAATTATAACTGATATCATCATCTTCTGTTGCATCATTATGTCCTTTGGGTGAGTCTTATGAGATATGGACCATCTCCTATCATGCGCTGAAGTAAATGAGAATAGTTGGCACTCAGCATTTTGTTGAATCAGGTTGTCAGTGGTAACTAATAACAGTATATATAGCATAATATGCTGCTTACTCTTTCTGAATTTATTATTGTGCATAAAATAAATATTTATAGATCAAAAATGTATTATCACATACTAAAGCCTTTGTAATCAGCAACAATATTTAGTTCATGGAGTTTTAAATGCAATTTAAAAATTATTTCACCCTTATATTATGTGTTGTAGCAATATATGTTTTCTCTTTGTTGCCATTTAATTTTAACTGTTTCAAAGACTGTAATAAAATATATTGGGAAGTGTTTACATAGAAAATGAATTCCAACCAGATTGCACAGCATGTAACACAGAAACACATTGATATGAACATATGATGTTAAACTAAAATAATACAGAGGTGAAATAGACTCTGAATATATATATTATTCATTCATTTAAAAATTGTCGTTTAGCAATTAAGGTGAAGAGAAAGGCTTTAAGTATATACATGCAGCATTATTACCAGGAAATTGAGAAGCTTTTTTAGCTATTGCAGCCGTGCTGCAAACCATGCTTCTGTGGTCTGTGCATAACAGAATTTTAGATTATGCTACTGGAACCTGTTTAACAATTCTTGGCACATGTGAGCCAGTTTGGATTTCTCGTAGCTTTGTTTACTCTGCAGCATTATAGAAGATAACAAAAAATGTTTTGTTAGTGAAACAAGCATTTCTGACTGTGTCAGTGGTACTTACATGGCTTTATTTACCATTTTATCTGAGCACCACACAGTACTTAATGTATTTATTTCTATTAGAACCCAGTTGCTATTTTCACCAGCAGAGCTAATGGTAAAATGCCCAGGAACATATTTAAAAAATAGTATATGTTAAAACAAATTTTCCACAAGCACCATCTGAATAGCAGTGGAGATACTGAATCATTTTCCAAGAGGACTTAGAAACTAGGAGAGTAAAACTATGCTCTGTTTGAAACAGAGAAACAACAACATTGCAGGGACATAGCAACTTTGAACATCTTGCTGGTAATAGGGTCAAAACAGCATTGTTTTTATTGACAGATATTATTATGTTGACTTAAACTTATAGCCATAGAAGATTTAGAAGTCCTGAGAGAATGCCTGTAGAGTTAAGCATTATAGGGGAACTCCTTGGAAGACCCACAAAAGGGACACAATTCAATAACTACTGAAGTCTGAGCATCAGTCCATCCCTCATTTAGTGCAAATGGAAAAAATAAACTGGACTTTTTAATAAAAACACTTTTCTTCTCCAATATGACTCCTCTTCTACAGTATGGAAAAGACACCATAGTGTGAGTTCCACTTTGGTTGAGAGAACATTATTTTTGTATTGGATAGATGGCCTTTCTCAAGGACTGATTTAATATAAATTCATGACTCTATGGGATGTACATCATGCAGTTTTTTGACTGCTCCCATTTCTTTTAAAGGGGATCATTTGAAGTGAGTATAATTTGGCCTTACAGAAAGAGGTTTCTTCTCCCAAACATGTGACTGCCTCATTCAGTCTAAAATAGTTTGAGCCAGAACATCAGCTAGTGCAAATTTCTGTGATATCATTGTTTTCAATAACTTTATATCTCAAAATGCCCAAATATTCCTTATCCACTGATACTACATCTACACGAGAAGCTAAATACACAGTAGACTAATTCTGCTGAGCATTAGCACATCACAGCGAAACCTGTGCTAATGAACTAATGCACAGAAGAATTAGTCTACTGTGCATTTGTGCCACTTAAAATGTGTGCACCGGCGCTACTGCACAGTAGCACCAGTTACTTCACATGAGTTAGTATTTGTTATTACAGGCACTAAATAATGTGCAGTATCTATGGCACATTAACGCACATGTAGATGTGCCTGGAAGCATTCAGACTAGGTGCTTTAGCAAATGCTTAGCCTTAAGCAACTACATTTGAGCTCATTCAAGTCAATGAGATTTAAGCACCTTCTTAAAATTAGATATGTGCTTGAGTTTCTTTCTGAAGAGGACTCAGCATAAGAATGTGCTGCTGGGGTCTTTTCCTGAATCAAGGCTTTAAGTATGTGCTTAAGTCTCAGTGATATCAAGCTCCTGCTCAATTTCTTCACTGAGTCAGCACCTAAGTACTAATGCAAAAATACATATGTTTAAAACCAAATATTGTTATTTAAACATGAACTAAGGCAAAAACATCAAACAGCCAACAAGTACGCTCTTTTGAAAATTACAAAAGAAAGATGAAATTTAACTGACATAATATTTTTTGCAAGCAGATGAATATAATACGGTTGTTTCCAATCTGTTGTCCTATATGTTCTCTTGCATTCAGCCACGTAGTATGCTGGAGCTCAGATACCATTTGATGACAACAATATAAATGCAAAGGTAGATTAGAATGTTAAACACTTGCATCAGATGTGCAAATTGTAGTAGATTGAGGTGATTCTGTGAGCATGGTCCTCATTTACACTTTACACTGTTCTGATACAATTTACATCTATGTTTACAGTCCCCTGCTCTGTCAAGTGGTGCAAAGGGGCTTTATAGCATAAATGTGAACCAGGATCTATCAACCTAATAATTTTGTCACATATATCTAATGTTAAAGATAAATCAAATAGTTCTATTGACAGTGATTCATTCCATCAAGGTCTGATACAGTGTCAAGGAGATGTTTGGAAGATTTTTTCTCATCTCTGGTGCCAGAGGAAGTGCAATTAGTCTGAGGTTCTTTATTCAAACCATCATGTGAAAACAAAGCAAAAAAAACCCAAACTCCCAGAAAAAACAATTTGGACAACAGGGAGAAGTGTCAGGCACCTTGCCTTTCTTTATTTCCTGGTTTATTGGTCTGATATTATTGTGTTTTTCCTCTCCTCTTGACTGCAAAACAAAGGGGAGAACATGACCCATTATTTTAAGAAACTCAGCAGTGCATAAGATATGCATTCTCTGAGCTTAAATGGTAGGATCTGAATGTTAAATATGAAGTTATGCTGGAACATGAAGCTGGATAGTCAGGCAAAGAAATAATATACTAGAAGGAATCGCAAAATCAACAACAAGCTGCATGTCTCACGTGCCTTTTGATCCTGAACATAAAGTAATGCTTCTAGTTAAGTCAGCAGTTACCTATTGTAAATGGAAATAACCTCCATGATTTGCTTCCATCTCTGCTGCACGTCATAGACTTAAACTGAAATTGTTCTGTCATCTGAACCTTGAGAAGTTACAAGGTTCCCAATCAAAGTTACTACACAGATTTTCACTTTTGTTCAGTAGTCTTTCTTTCAAACTTAAGTATTAAGGTTATTTTAAGAATGCTTGTAGTGGAATGCTCTAAAAAGGGATTTTTCATGGTGGGGAGGGACGGGGCTAAGAAATTGCCCTTTGGCCCTGTGGAATCCTGTCCCCAGTGAAATTCAGTATTTGCAGGTGTGGAGAGGTGAAAGTAACAAATTTAGTGATGGGAACAAACCTACTCAACCAGATTTTCTTTGCTGAGCCAGACCCAGAAGGAATTGCAGCACAAATTAATGACCCTGGAGATCTCACTTCAATGTTCATACATAACTTTGACTTCAGTAGGCTTTAAATCAAGTCCTGAGTTGGTATTAGTCTGCTTCAGTCTGTCAACATCACACCTTCCCTTGAAGAAAGAGAAGACAAAGCTCACAAAAGTTTCCTGCCTTCTACATAGGTTATTCTAATTCAGAGAAGCATGAGTCCCTGGGCACATCTACACGTGTGATTAATGCACATGAATAAACTCTGTTTTACTCCCAGGCATGCTGTTTGAAAGTGCACCTGGGAGCAAAACCTCTGGAGCATACTGCTCTGGAGTTTATTCGTGCACAGCATGTGGAGCCCGGTTGGAGCAGCCTGGGCTGGCAGGGAACCCTGGGGCTGAGCCTGCCAGCCCAGGGCTGCTCTGACCGGGCTTCAAATGCAGCAGAGCAGCTGGATGAGGCACGAGGGTGCTTCAGCGCTGGGGCTGTCTGCTGGCTAGCCCCACACAAGCACCTTCTGCCCCAGCCATCTGGGGCAGTGTCTACATGTGCGCTGCTGCATATGAAAAAACTCCAAAGCAGGGCAGTACGTGTATTTTAAAAGTACTACCCTGCTGCAAAGTTTATTAGCTTTGTGAACCCTAATAAGGATACACATGTAGACACAGAAATGTTTACTGCACAGTTAATTAGTCAACTGCGCAGTAAACATCTCATGTATATGCACCCCTTGAGCATTATCTAAACTGTTAAATTCATCTTGGACTGCGGTCTAACAGTGTCAGATTAGAATTTAAGTGGTGTGTTTTGCTCTAAGACATTGCTGAATGTTTCTGAAATAACCTTAAGAAAATGCATTTATATTTGTACATCCTTAAATGTATGTTATAATGATGAAAATGTCATGCCTCTGACCACTGTGATTTGAAACAGTTGAATAGAAAATAACCCAAAGCAGGCTCTCCCTGAGTTAGTGGATCAGGAAACCTTCTATTTACATACTGCACAGGGCCATACATAATCCAGGGA